CACCATCCGCAGCAGCAGCATCAGCAGCCTCATCAGCATCCTCATCATCGGCATCATCACCATCATCAGCATCTGCAGCAGCAGCGTCATCATCACCATCATTACCCACGCTCTCATCAACGTCATCATCGTCTTCATCATCACCATCATCATCAACATGATCACCATCATTAGCATCATCATCATCAGCAGCAGCAGCATGAGCACCAGCATCATCATCATCCGCAGCAGCATCATCATTCGCATCATCCACATCATCATTACCAGAATCATCATCACCATCAGAATAATCATTACCACCGCCACCATCATCAGCATCATCACCACCATCACCATCATCATCATCATCATCATCAGCATCATCATCAGCATCATCATCATCATCAGCATCGCCTCCTTGACCATCATAAGAATAATCAGCATCACCGTCATCACCACCACAATCATCACCCTAATCATCAGCATCATCAGCATCATAATCATCATCATCATCATCAGCAGCAGCAGCATCATCACCATCATCATAATCAGTATCATCGCCACCATCATTATCATCATCATCACCATCATCATCATGATCATCACCATCATCATCAGCATCACCTCCTTCACCATCACCATCATAAGAATTATCATCCTCATCATCACCACAATCATCGCCCCTAGTCATCAGCATCGTCATCAGCATAATCATCATCAGCATCATCATCATTATCCTCATGACCCTCATCATCACCACCATCCTCATCACCACCACCATCATCATAGTCATCATCATCAGCACCACCACCATCATCATCACCACCATCATTATGATCATCAGAATAACCATTACCAACATCATCATCATCATCATCATCATCATCATCATCATCATCATCATAACCATCATCATCATACTAATCATCACCACCTCCACAGTCATCATCACCACCATCGTCACTGTCACCACCACCATCATCATCACCACCGCCATCATCGTCATAATCAGCATCACCACCACCACCACCATCATCATCATCGTCATCATCATTAGAATCATCATCATCACCTTCACCACCACCACCATCATCTGCATCACCACCACCATCATCCTCATCACCACCACCACCATCATTAGTATTGTTGTCATCACCACCAGCAGCATCACCATCATCATAATCAGTATCATCATCATCACCATCATCGTCATCACCATCAACAGCAACATCATCATCAGCATCATGACCGCGCCGTCGTCATCATCATTATCATCATCATTGTCGTCGTCGTCATCATCAGCAGCAGCATCATCCCCCATCCTCCTCTACCTCCTCCTCTTCCCGCCCGCCTCCCCCCTTGTCCTGCGAGGCGGAGGGCTCCCTCCCCGCCCGGTTCCCGCGCGGCGCCTGTGGGCGGGACACCCAGCGGCGTGCGCCCCGATGCTTAGGTCGTGGTCGCCACCCCCGGCCGAATGCGGAAGATCCTCGAGCTGGCCGGCAGCGAGGACCCCCTCTCGGGAGGGAGGACCGTCGTGTCTGTTGGGAGGCAACTCCTGGGAGGTTGTCGTCAGAAGGGTTCAAGGCGATCAATCCCGATTCAGGGGCCACTTAGCCGGAGCAGGCTGGACGAAACCCCGGACTATGCGGGAAGAAGCGGGATTGGAGCCGTTTGGAGCTTCTGAAGCGGCCCGGAGCTTGTTCTGGACAGCATGGAAGGGCGGGCAGGCTCCAGGCCCTGGGTTTGGGAAGGTGTTCCGCACATTTCGGCCTCCAGGGGGCCTGCTTCGAACCTCGGGACACTGGAAAGCGGATCCGGGGTGAAAACTGCAACAGCTGCACCCTAGAAGGGGTCCCCGGACCGATTTTGACCGGATCTGGCCTCATTCCCACGCCTGGCTGACTTTCTGGGGCCCCGGCTAGTTCAGACCCCCCGGCCGCCTCCAAAGGAGGACGAGGAGGAAGCCGGAGGAGCGAAAGGTACCGATAATTACCGCTGCTCGTCCTGGAGGGCCCTCGCCGCCACGGCTGGACGCTCCGCGGGGTTCAGGCGGAAGGCACCCAGGACCCAGGAGAGAGAGGAGGAGGACCAAGAGCCGGGGGCGGCCAAGAGGGGGTTGATGACTAGGGGGGGAAATATCATGGCGGGGGCCATGGTATTTCCTCAGATGTCATGGCGCCCTTTCTTATTCCAATACGTCCCTGGCCCCCCCCCTGGGCCGCGCACATGCCGCCGGCCATTATTTGCGCCCCCTCCCTCTTGGACACCCCCCCTGGCCGCCCCCGAAAGTGTCGCCATGAAGCAGGCGAGTCCTGGAGGGGGCGGGCCCGGGAGGTTTTTCCATGAGTTCGGGCTCCTGGGGCCCTCCTCGGGCCCCAGGGTTGTCCCTAAAACAGTGCAGGACGAAAAGATGGTCTTGGGGGAAGGCACAGGGGTCCAGAACCCGTTTCCCTCAGGACCCGCTTGCCTCATGCCGAAGGAGAGGAGGAGGAGAACACGAAGAGGAAGGGAAGGAGGAGGCGGAGGAGGAGGAAGAGCAGGATCAGGAGGAGGGAGGAGCTGGAGAGGGTCGTCGTCGAACGAGATCTTGGGGCCTAAACCGTTTCTCCTTGACGCGATTGCAACTCTCACTGTCCTTAAGTTGGGCCTGTCCCTCTTCAGGGGAAATATTCAACGTCCAGCTGCAGACCCGTTTGGGGAAGGATCTTCCCTCCATCCGTGCAGCGGTGCACAGCAAGGCTCTGGCCGCAAGGCTTCCAGAAGTTTCAAGCGAGAGCCCAAGGTCGAAAAGGAACCGAGCATTTACTTTGGGTGGAGGGCAAAGGTTGGAATCCGAAATGCCGTTACGATTGATTTTCGAGATTTGAATTTGCAAAAGGTGAATCACAAGATGGATGGATTTTCGAGGTGCTAATCCCATGTGGATTTCACCCTGAGCCCTCCACCCTATGAAGATGTCCAGAGGAACCGCCACCATCCGCGCAACGGCTGCACAGTTTAAACTCTCAGGGTTATATTTGAGGAAGCACCAGGGAGGAGGACAAGACCAAAGAGGAGGGCAGCGCACACAATCCTGCCCCTCACCAGACAGGTGTCGAAAGTACTCGACAGCAACCGAAATCCCTCGGCCATGGTTTGGTAGAGGTGACTGTTGCTCTGGCGACTTTGCGAACCGACTGGCGCCATTTCGATGTTGCGACTTGTCTTGCTTGCTTGGGCCAACACATACTACACGTGTTGTTTGATTGTTGCCGTTTCGATGTTTGACGCCTAGACAGAAGTCTCACAGGATCGCGTCAAGTACATAAAGGGGTGGACAGTCAGTTGCAGGGTTTGGGTTGTGGGATTTGGGTCCAGAGTTCTGATGTATAGTCAAGTATTGCTCGTTGCGGTTTGGGCGTATGGTGAGGCTCTCAGGGTTGGGGCGAGGACAACGGAGAGGAGGAGGGAAGCATCATCGTCAGAAACCAGTAATTAGTCGTCGTAGGCGTTGTTTTCGCCATCGGCCTAGTCCTTGTGGTCTTTCCGGGGCTGAGAGCAGCGAGAGGAAAAAATGGGAATGGGCCGGAAGGGGAGAGGGATTGCCATTGCGGCATCAAAGAGGGCCAGGGAGGTTCCAATGGGGGATGTAGCTTCCACCTGCGGGGGATGGGGGGATGGGGGGGGCTTCCGCCTGGCGGATCCGAAAGGGGGGAGGGAGAGGGCTTCGGAACGATGAGTTCCACACTGGGGTCGAGGTAGCTTGTGGGGGCCGGAAGGGCCGGGGGGGGGGGGGGATGTCGGGTACGATACCTTCGCGGGCGAGGCCGCAGGGCAGGGGTAGCTACTCAAGGGAGTACATCCGGTCCCCTCGGCCGTGTGCTGCCGGGGTGCCCCCAGCCCCTCTGGCCGGGTCCCCGGCGCGCGCTCTCTCAGAGAATGCTGGGGCTCTGCAGCTCTGCCCATCGACCATTCACTGGCGTCGGCGGTCTGGCAGGCGCAGGCGTCGACGGCGGTCTCACGGCGAGCGGGCGGGTCGATCGACGGGTCTGGAGAGGGTCTTCTCCTCCACCATTGCTCAATATGAGTGCTTCTCTCCTCTCCCCCCCAAAAGCAAAAACTCCCTCCGCTGTTCTCCACACAGGATTTCAAAAGATGCTGCTTCTTATGGTTCTTTGGAACCCGAGTGCTCTCGGTGTTTCACAATGGTGCTCCTGCTGCAGCGTGGGCCTCAGTTGCGGATCGGCGCTTTGCTCCTGTCGTTAAGAATGGCGCTCTCGCCCCAGCGCGGGCCACTTTTCTGGATCCGAGACTAGCTTCATTGTGACCGCCACCTTATTCGCCGTCCTCCACCTTCCCCAGGTCCTCCTTTGCCATCATTCCCCCTCCTCCGCCTTCCCCTGGTCCTCATGTTCCTCCCGCTCCTTCCACTCCAGCTCCTGCTGCTGCCGTTCGTCTCACCCCAGCGAGGGCGATTCTTATTGCTCCGAGTCTTTCTTCATCGTGACCACCCCCTTATTTGCCCTCCGCCTTCCCCAGGTCCTCCTTTTCTTCCTTGTCTTTCCGCTTTAATTCCTGCTGCTGCTGCTGTTCGTCCTCATCTTTTTCCTCCCGCTCACCTTCCTGCTCACCCGCAACCTCCTGTGCACATAGCTCTTTTTTTTCCGATTGCGCATGCCACGAGGTGGTCGTTCTGTGGGAGTCGCAGGTCGGCTATGACACGCGTCCGCGGATTATGAAAAATCAGCGCCATGGGAAGGGATGAAAGGGAGGGAAAAGACGTCAGATGAGGCGCGAGCGCACCTTGCTTGCCCTTCTCCTACTCTTCCTCCTCCTCCAGCCCCGCTGAAGCGACGTATTATTTCGCATCTGCGGACAAACCTTCGACACAATGAACCTCAAAAGTTGTGGACGCACCCCTGCACAGTCGCCCCCTCTCCGCCCCTTCAGTGTCGCCCCCGCCGACATCGAAGCAGAGGGAAACGCAGTCTGGGCCGGCGCGACTCGGAAGTTCCGCGATGACCGAGTGGAGAGGGGTTTGGAGTCCCGAAACGGTGCGGTGACGGACCGTGCGGTGACCTCGGATGCCCCATCCGCCCGAGACGTCCTCGGAGAACGACCCGAGTCCCAAAACCGTGCGGTGACCCCGAATCCCCACCGACTCACCACACGGTGTGGTCACCACCCCGTTTGGGGGGCCCCCGAAGGGGGCGCCAACAACAGTTCCGCACGCAGTGTGACCCATACCCAGAGCATCAGATGTGTCGCCTTGCCATGTGTCTCGGCGCGCGGCCTTTCGGCTCGGGGACGGCGCTCCAGCCATCGGGGCAGACTCCACCTCGGGCGCACGGCTTGAGGCTGAGTTTGCCGCGGCGCCGGCTGCGTCTGCTTTGGCGTGGGTCGCAGGGTGTGCCGTGGGTTTGCGGTGGTGTCGGCGTCGTGTCCATTTGGGTGCGTCGAGGACCAACGGCGCGGCGACATATGGATTGCGTCGCGCGCTTTTGAGGATCATGTTGTCGAGGGTGGCGTTCATACAATGAACGTGCGGTGCGATCCATAGCTCCTCTATTTGCCGCCGCTTCCACATCCTCCAAACTTGACACAAGCTGGGGCAAGGAGGCCATGTGAGTTGAAACGAGCGTATAGTTCGAAATCGATCGTAGATCAGTCATATAAAAATGGCCTTGTTCAGGAATTGTCGAGAAGTGGGTGCACCGGCAGGCGTTTTAATTGTCCCCCGTCCCCATGCATGATGAAACGATTTTGTTTCTGACCCACCAACCTCCGGGAACATTGCGGTGGCCCCTAACGATGTCACACAGCCTCAAGAGTGAGAGCCCAATCTTCAAAAGAAATCGCCCTGCATTATTGTAGATACTGCATAGTGCTAAAGCACTTGTAGCATTACATATGGTCGTCTGAAGCGACAGCTCCGCTTTGAAACGAAGCCGCCCTCCATACGCGAAATGTATTGCTGGACGCTGGTTAGGACGAACGTGCGCGGCGCGGAAGCGAGAGCCACATTTTGAATGCGGGCCGCCCTCCATGTTGGTAGCTGCAGGAAGATGCAAGCTCTAGCCAGGAAGACAGTTATCGGGTTGGGAGGATGGGGCCGGGAGAAATGATCAGATCGTCGATATGATCGCGTATGCTGAATACGTTTATCACACAGTCGTGCCCTGTGTCTGCCCACCCGCTTCCTCCCGACACGGTAAGTGTCTTTCCCCTTCAGGGTCGTGAGCCGTGAGGAGGTCGCAGGCGAAACGCCAGGCCCGCCCTACCGACACCGTAGGTGGTGCGGCGAGGGCGAGCTACAGGTAAGTCGGGCCTGTCCCTCTACAGGAGGAATATTCAAAAGACAGTAAAACCATAGTCTGGGGACGATGTTTTGACTGTGATTGCCCAGTTGGGGGGTATGTTTCTAAATAGTCGTCATTCTTCGCCCAGAATCCCCCTGTATCGGGGGAGCGTAAGACCTGGGTTTGCCAGGACTCGGGTTCGCCATCGTTTTTTGACGACCGCGACTCGGATTTTGACGAGGAGGAGTTTTGTGGGATGTCTGCAGCGGGAGGCCTCGTCAAAGTGCAGGCTCGGCCTCGTCATTTTTTTGACGACCTCGTCGGGGATTTCCGAGTCCCCCGTACCCGGGTCTTACGTCTCCCCGACTGTAGGGGGACGCGCCCGATTGAACCCTACCGACACCATAGGTGGTGCGGCGATGGGCGAGCTGCAGTGGGCACACCGCATGAGACACTGGCCCGCCGGCGGGTGCCCCGCGGTGAGTTCTCTTTAGCTCCCGCTGGGCCCACAGAGGCGTGGGGGGGCACCTCCCCACGAAGCTCGGGGTCGACGATCAGGAGCGAGAGAAGGACGTACACGTACATGAATCCACGCTGGTTTCGAGAGCACGCATTGCCCAAATGTTCGTAGAACGCGGCTGGTCTCGCGAATCGAGGGGCCGTGTTCATGTACATAGCTGGGCGCGTACGTCCTTTGTGGGCTCCCTAGACGAAGGATGTGCCTCTAGATCTAAGTCGGGCCTGTCCCTCCCCTGGGGGAAGATTCAAACATAGTCGCAACTACAAAAACTAGACAGGGGAAAGGTTCAAACATAGTTTTTTTTAACAAAAAAAAGTCTGGGGACGAGTTTGTTTTACGATGTTTGATCCGTTTGGGCGTATGTTTGGGGCATGTTGTTATTGTTCGTCCAAGTCAGCCTGTATGGGGGACATGCCCGACCTAGCTCTAGAAAATTATCCTGGCAGGGCTCATTGTCGTGTGTGCCTGTTGTACTTACAACCGCCTTCCAAGCCCGGCCTCGTACATGTCGATGCCCAGGTGGAAGCCCTCGGGCCAAGGCCTCAGCACCCCCCAGGAGTGGTTCCCTCTTGGCAAGCTTGGGCTCTCGCGCATGCCTCGGGCATTTTGAGGCCACATTGCGGCATGCCCAAAAATCCCCGCGACGTAAATTCCACAACGCATGCCTGGATGCTGGGGCCCATACTGAGGCCATATTGGGGCTCGCTGGGCAGGGCCTCAACATCCCCCCGACATGTTTCCCGCATGGCGTGGATGATAGGGCCCAAGGCCATGTTGAGGCCCTCAGGTCAGGGCCTCAACATCCCCCCGACGTGCTCCCCCATAGCAGGCGTGGACGACGGAGCCCGTGTTGAGGCCATGTTGAGGCCGTCAGGCCAGGGTCTCAGCATCCCCCCGACGCGTTTCCCACATAGCAAGCTTGGATGATGGGGCCCATGTTGAGACCATGTTGAGGCTCCACGTTGGGGCCCTCAAGTCAGCGCCTCAGTGCCCCCCCGACGTGCCCCCCACAGAGCAGGCGTGGACGATGGGGCACATGTTGGGGCAATACTGAGGCTTTCGGTTCAGGGCCTCAACATCCCCCGATGCGTTCCCCGAGTAGCAGGCTTGCATGACGGGGCCCGTGGTGAGGCCATGTTGCGGCCCTCAGGTCAGGGCCCCAACATCCCCCCGACGCGTTTCCCGCATAGCCAGCGTGGACGATGGGGCCCATGTTGAGGCCATGTTGAGGCCCTGAGGCGAAGTCCTCAGCGTCCTCCCGACGCGTTTCCCGCATGGCAGGCTTAGACAATGGGGCCCATGTTGAGGCCCTGCCAGCCTTTGGCTGAAGAGTTCTTAAAAGGGCACCTCAGTAGGCCTCAACATGCACCTTGCACGGTAGCCCAGGGGGGAGCCCTGGCGGACATGGCCTCTTGCGACACGCCAGTATTATAGTCCGGCCTTTCTCCCATAATCGGATCCCCCCCGTGAGGTGGCGGACAAACGTAAGTTCTCGTGTGGGTGTTGTGTCAGAACAGCCACTGATAGTGAAGGCGGTCGCCGCCCTTGTCCTTCAAGAGATTGAGGCGCATCGGCATGGCCTTGCACAAGCTATGGACTTCGTAGCAGTTGTCGATGTTTATCCCGCACTCTTTGATGCCTTGTTCGATGCTGGGCCAAGTCTTATGCAAAGCTGTTGCCGCGAACCTGAAGTCCAGATTGGAAAACGGCCTGTGCGGTCAGGAGCGTTGGCTTAGCGTGTCGCGCCGCCGGTTCTGGCCCGCCACGCTACAGCGCGGTGATATCAATGGCCGGTCCACAATTGAACTTCCACCGGCTTCCAGACCCTGGATTCCATATCGAAGGGTTGCACGTGCAAGACCCCCATCGCAACAGCTCGCAGGGCATAGGGCGTCGCCGGGGCCGCCGCCGCGACGCGCTAAGCAAAGGTTTCCGACTGTAGGGCGCTTGCCTACTGCGCTTATACGTAGCACGGACTGGAGCAGCAGAAAGAAAAGAAGGGTGCAGGCGCTCAGCCTCAAGCCGCTGGAGCTGCTGGTGCTCGACGAGGCCGGCCCCGTCCGCTCTGGCTCGGCCCGGGGGGGGGGGGCAGAAGAAGGAGGAGGAGGAGGAGGAGGAGGAGGAGGAGGAGCAGCAGCTTACACCCGCGGGGAGGTGGGCAGGCTGGAGGAGGGAAAAGGATGAGAGGAGGAGGAGGAGGACGAGGAGGAGGAGGAGGAGGAGGAGGAAGAAGAGGACAGGAGGAGGAAGACAGGAGGAGGACAAGGACGCTGAGGGCGTGGAGACCGACGAGGAGGAGAAGGACGACGACGACTGGGAATACGGGTTGAGGAATGGGGGGGGGTACTGTTCGGCGAGGCGGATCGCCTGCTCCAGCTCGGCTTCGCGAGCGACGTCAACTTCCTGCTGGGTGCGTGCCCCAAGCAGCGCCGCACAGGCCGCCGCTGCCCGGCCCCCGCCGCCGCCGCAGCAACTCGCGCTGCCACGTCAAGCACGGTCCCGCGGTCCGCGGCCCAGGTCCTCCTCCCTCCTCCTTCCTCCTCTTCTTCCTCCTCTTCTTCCTCCTCCTCCTCCTTCTCCTCCTCCTCCTCCTCCTCCTCCTCTTCCTCCTCCTCTTCCTCCCGCCGCATCGTCCTGGCCTGGCCGAAGATCAAAGCCAAGTTGGTAAAGGCGGGGCCCAGCGGGCGGTGGAGGGCCGTCTGTGGGCCCACGGCGGCCATCGTTGCCCTCCTCATGGACGTGGGCTGGGGCCCCGAGACCGCCACCTCGGCATGGACACGTAGGCCGTGGAGGCGCCGGCCGTGGAGACAGAGCTCATCATGGCGGTCGAGAAGCAGATGTGGGCCAAAGCCAGCAGGCACCATCATGGGTCTGACCTCATGCCGCTTCCTGGCCAAGGGCATGATGGGCTCCTTCAGCCAGAGCCTCGTCGTCGTCGCGGGGGCCAGTGGCCTCGGGCCGGCCAGGCTGAGGCTGGGTATCAGGTCAGTCGGACCTGCCCACGATGCGGCACAGCGGACGAGGACGACTACCACCGCATCTGGGCGTGCCCCGCCAATCAAGGGCACGACGACTACACGAAGACCGAGCACCTGTGCGAGCAGGCGAGGGTGCAGCTTGAGGTGTCGCCCTCGCTGTGGCTGCGGGGGCTTCCGAGGGAGGCGGAGACCACGCCGACCTTCAACGAGGACGAGGCGGACTGGAGCATCATGGCCGGCCTCGACGTAAAGAGCTGTCGCGACGAAGGTGGGGTTCTCCACCGCTTCGGGGACGGCAGTGGTGGTGAGCACAGCGACGATGTGCGCAGGAGGCGCTGCGTTGCGGGCTACTGCGCCCTCCACTGCCGCTCTGGCGTCTGACAGTGTGCAGGCGGATGTCTCGGCGGAGTCGTTGCCCGCCAGACCGTGCCTACGGCTGAGATCACCGCCTTCGCTTTCGCGCTTGAGGGCGCGACAGCAAAAGTGTGTTGCTATACCAACAATCGGGGCCTGTTTATAGGATGGAATGCTGGCAGGTTTCGTCACACCATTGGTTCCAATGGGGACCTTCGGGCTAGAACTCGGAGCGCCTTGGTCTCGATGGGGCTCTCTTCAAGTAGGGGACTCTGGCGGCGAGGCCCCCTTCTGGCCCAATAGAAGTCCACGTTATTTGGGTCCCGTCCCACATGGGTGAGAATCCTTGATCCCTGGGCACTCCAGAGCTTCTTTTCAGGGCCACTGGCAACGCCTGTGCCGACACCCTGGTGGGCTTTGCGGCCGTAGTGGTTTGGGCTCGGCGCTTGGTCGGGAGGGCCCCCAGGACCGATGTCGTTGACGCGACTGCGGCACAGGTGCGCCAGAGGGCTCGCAGGGTTCTGGTAGACACCTTGTCTGTGGACGCCTGGGAGGCCCAACGGTCGCCGAGGGTACGGGCCGCCTCCGAGCCAAGACGCACGTGCGTATTGGAAGCCATCCCGCACGCCTAGACCTCCGTCCAGGGCGGCAGGTGGCTCTGTCGGTGCTGCCGTTTCCTGGTCCCTGGGGCCCGTGCGGAGGAGGCGGCCCGTACCCCGTGCATGCCCACCCCGGCCCCCAAGGGTGGCTGGGGGAGTCGGCGTTGGTGGCTGCATCACGGTCTGCGAGTCGTGCAGTGCCTGCGGCAGCCAGGAGGTGCATCCTGCCCAGTCGCTGCACCTGCGGGCTGGGCACAGCCTGTATTTCTGCAGCACGTGCGGAAGCACGGCCGCGTCGCATCCCGCGAAGCTGGCCATCCCATGCAGCGGAGAGGCCACCCGCAAAGGTCAGGAGAACCTTGCGAGAGTCAAGAAGGGCCTCTGCCCCAGCCATAAATGGGCCGCCCAAGGCGGTCAGGCACGCCCTGAATGTCATTCGGGCTGGGGTTGGCCGCCTCCCTCGCCCCCTCTCCTCCTTCCTCCCCCCTTCTCCTGCCGCCCACCTCATCCCTCCCCCCTCCTCCCCCCTCCTCCTCCTCCTCCTTCTCCTCCTCCTCTTCTTTCAACCTCACTCCGTAGGTCCCGCGGCAGGCCTAGACGGGACCCGCGCTCCCCCTCGTCCCTTGTTACGCTAGATGATTGTTTCATCCTCATGTTGCCTCCTCCTTTTCATCACGCATTTGAGCTGCCTGCTCCTGCAAATCATCACACCAGGTGGTTGCAAGGGTGGTGCAGAAATACGCTTGTTGAGAATTAGCCAGGCGAAAGACCCAACCATATGCAGTTGTGAGTGACGCACTTGTGAGTATCGTCTTCGGTGGAGCTCCCTATGGGGCCACGCAACGTGTGAGAGAGACGTGCCGAAATGGGCGCGGTGGGCGCATGCGAACGCGTGTGAGGGGTGTGCAGCAATGGGCGCGGCGCTGCCATGCGAGCGCAGCCATTGGGGCCCTCTGTGCAGCTCCCTGAAGGGCCACGAAACGTGTGAGGGGTGTGCCGAAAGGGGCGCGGCGCTGCCATGCGAGCGCAGCCACTGGGGCCCTCGGTGCAGCTCCCTATGGGGCCACGAAACGTGTGAGGGGTGTGCCGAAAGGGGCGCGGCGCTGCCATGCGAGCGCAGCCACGGGGCCCTCGGTGCAGCTCCCTATGGGGCCACGAAGCGTGTGAGGGGTGTGCCGACATGGTTGACTGGTGCGGAGGGAAAGGCAGGGACGGGAGGAGGGGGAGGGAGGGGGCAGCGCGTGGAAGGAGCGAGACGCGGAGCGCTGTCTCGTCCAAACGAGGACCCAACACGACAGGATGGTTGGGAAAAACGGGGCTCCCGTCTGCATGACACGCCCCGGGGGGCGCTCGTCCCTCAAGGTGGCGATCCCCGCACTGTAAAAATGGAAAAACCTATAGGGAGGGTGCTTGGGACGCGAGTGTGCGTTGCAGCATCGCTGATGCTGACGATGGTCATCATCCTCCCCCTCCCCACTGACACACCAGGCTCCACATCCTCCAGCCTCTTGCGCGAGCACGACGCAACATGCCTTGCAGAGCTCGTCCCTGCCCTGATCGCGCCAAAGGTTGGGTGATCTGGCTTCTGCGGGGTTCCTGCGCACCTGAGCGGGGTTGGCGCGTGGATTGAGCAACAGCCTCCCAGCACTGGGCAGGATCGCCAGCGCCGTGCGTCGGGTGGTCGCGAGGCGAGGAGGAAGGGAGGAGGAGGCCGGCTCCACCCCCCTCGCGGAGGCCTTTTCAGCGCCACGCTGACCAGCGAGCTCCAGAGGAGCCCCGGCGGAGTCCTTCGGCTGCAGTCTCCGCGCCCGTCCCTCTCGGCCGACGAGCGATGCGCAGCCCCGCGGCAGATATCCGTAAACATGGGCGTTGATCAGCAGGGACGTTGGCGAAATAAGAAGACGCATATGTTGGCAGAACTTTGTACGGATGATTCGCCTTCTTCAGATCTGGCAACATCTCAGCTTGTGCGGGGACCACTGTACGTGGTCCTGACACGTGCTCCTCTGTAAATGGGGGGACGAGGCGTGCGCCCACTTGATCCTCACGTGCCAGACAGGTGTTCGTGATGAGAGCAGTACCAGACACACCATATTGTAGAGGCCTCCAGCCGGTGCCGCCGATCCGGGACGATCCCGTTGTCAGAAGGACGCTTTCGCCCCAGCGCGGGGTGATCTTTTCCCTTCTCCGCGCTGCGCTTCAGTTTTGTAGGCAGTAAAAAATCTGGGTCCGAGTCTTCCCGCATCCTTATCGAGGCCTCCTGGGGGGCGTCTTGGAGGTGATTGTTGAACCTCTTGGGGGCCTTTTGGGCTTCTTGGGGGGCATGCAGGAGGAATCCTGGAGGCCTCCTGGGTGTGTGTGGGAGGTAATGTTTAAGCCTTCGGGGGCGCTTTGGGGCGCCTTTGGGGGGCCTCTTGAGGGCCACTTGGTGCCTCTCGGGGTTTCTGGGGGACTCCCAGGGCCATGTTGGTGCCTCCTGGGCGCCTCTTGGGCCGTCTTGGGCCCTTCTGGGGCCGTCATGGAGTCATGGAGCCCTCTTGCGCGCTTCTTGGGCCCGTCCTAGGGCCCGCTTGGGCTGTCTTGCGGGCCTCCTGGACCATCCTGGGCCCTTCTTGGGCCGACTTGGGGCCCTCTTGAGAGCCTCTGGGCCTGTTTTGAGGGTCTCTTGGGCCGTGTCGGACACCGCGAAGGCCGAAGAAGCGAAAATGCAAAAAATGCACATTGTCCTAAGGGAATGGGACAGATTTTCGGGAGGGCACGTTGGAGGCGTCTGGAGCCGTCTGAGGAACATATTGGGCGTCTTGGAACGGTGTTTCGGCCACACAGGGCCCTCTTGGGCCGTCTGGGCGGCCGCTGAGTTTTTTATGAGCCCGCGTTCGAGCTCTCCGGGGCGAGGGGCCAACCTGGAGTGAGTCCTATTTTGCCACCAAAACTGATTCGGACCCCCCCCCCCCTACCCCGGCAGAGCCACCCCGACACCCACCCCCCCAGCAGAGTTGAAGCTCAAGAACTGAGGCTCAGGCTATATCTGAGGGTCTTGAAAACTCACACGCCAGATCGGCGGATCTCTGCGAGTGCGATGCTGACCTTACGGGAACCACACAGAAAGGTACATGATGGGGACTCATTGGAATTGACGACTAACTGAGCAGGAGGAGGGTTGGGAGCGGCGTGAGAGAAGATCAAAGACGCCAGCATGGAGTCGGCGGTGAAGTCTTCCATGTTTCAAAGAGCCATACCAGGGCTCAGCAATGACAACATCATCGTGATAATGTGTGGTTCCGCGGAGTTGTCCAGAGCATGCCCAACAGATGCGTTGCCACTCACGACAGTACCCAGTCACACTTCTTGCATCTCTCTTCCAGCCCCTTGGAAAGTGAGCGAGCATCGGCATTCTGTATTGGAAGCCGAGAACTCCATTCTCGTAAGTTCTGCAGCTCCGCGACCCAAACAAGGAAAAATCGAGGGGTGGCATGAGGAATAGAAGGAGGAACCGAGGAGGCATAGACTTGCACTTGCTGACAGTATTATTGCAAGCGGGCCGTGGCGTGAGGTGATTGGGTCTAAGTTGGGGACGTTTGGATGTATCTTCGGAACGTTGCAAGCGCAATCACGACTCCGAATACAATGTGCCAGCACAGATAAAATACCTTGCGACCTGAGCACCATCCAGGTTTGCACTCGTACCTGCCCCACCGCCGCTTCGCCAACAGCCAGGAGTCCCCCACAGGAGCCGTTCCAGGTGGCCGCACCAGCAGCGCTTCCCCCGAGCTCTCCACGGGAACCGCCACTGGGGCGTCCACCCAGGAGGGCTCCCGAGGTTTTCCCCGGGTGCCCATTTGTGCAGCCACCCCAGGAGCTCCCTTGGAAATTCTCCGCAGAATGCCGTACTCCGCTTCCCAGCTTCCTCCCTGCCGCCGAAGCCTCATGAAGTCGGGCATGCGCAACCCGGTGCACGTGTGCGTGAAGTTGAAGAAGACGGACGACAGCAAGCAAGATGCGGTTGATGCCGCATCTGCCCCGAAGAAAAATGAAGCGAAGGTGGCGCTCCGATGAGGGTCAGAGAAGGTGATGGAGAATGCGCAGGGTATCATGTGGAAGAGAGGGGTGCAACCATGGTATCAAATATCACAGGCGATACGTGCACCACTGTGGATGGATCAGCATGCACATGTAGATGGGGAACAGGGAGAAGGAGGAGGAGGAAGAGGAGGAGGAGGAAGAGGAGGAGGAGGAGGAGGTGGAGAAGGAGTCGAAAGTAGAGGCCGCGGCAGTGGCGGACGAGGAGGAGAGGAGCGGTTGAAGGAGATGGAGGATGAGGAGAAGGAGAAAGAAATCGAGATGATGAGAGCAAGGGGGAGAGAGAGATTGAGAGAGAGGGGACGAGCGAAGAGCCGAGAAGCTGAGCCCCACATGGACAGATCGGATGGACGCGACGGGGCAGGGGGGGAAGAGTGTGGAGACTGGCTGCTTGTCTGCTGACCGGAGCCACGACTCCGGAGAGAGTCTGCGGTCAGGAACGCGTGCTCAGCGTGTCGCGCTGCCGGCTCTGGCCCACCACGCCTTGGCGCGACGTGCTGGCCGCGTCCCAATCCCCAGGCGTCTCCGCCCCGAGCTTTTTGGCAGCCCCCCGCCCCGGGGAGCGGAGCGACACGCCATCCGCTTGCAGGGCGTGGCGTGTCGCCGGGCCCGCCGCCACCGCACGCTGAGCGGAAGTTCCCGAACGTATTGTGGAGCCGACCCCCCCCCCACCGCACCTCACCTCACCTCTGCTGACCCAGGTCTGGGAGCTTGCCGGCCTGGGCTCGCGACATGGATTGGGCTGATCCGCCCTATCAGATGAAAAGGGGAAGACAGGTTTGTTCTCAATTCGGTCGACGCGCCGCTCTCCCCATCCTCTTGTTTCGGGGAAACGTAAGACTCGAGTACGCCAGAACGCAGGTTTGCCGACGCCTTTTGACGAGCACGTCCTGGATTCTGACGGTCCACTTTTCGTGTGATGTCTGCAGCGATAGTTCGCGTCAAATTTCAGACTGGGTCTCGTCATGTTCATGATGGCCCTCTCAGGCCAACCCGAGTCCCCAGAACCCGAGTCCTACGTCCCCCCGATTTGTTCATCCCTCTCCATCACCCTCCACCCCCTCGTTCCTCCCCCTCCCCCCCCTCCGAGCTCAAACGAGCTCACGGGACGAGTCGATCCGCTCCGCTCCGTTCCGATCGATGGCATGTGAGTGGGGGAGGCCCTCCCACCACTACCCGCTCTCGAGAGAATCGGCTGTGGGAGGAGAAAAGAGGAGGAAGAGGAGGAGGAAAATTCTGGGGGGCCTTCCTGGGACCTCTCCTGCGTGGAAGGTGGTAGAAGGGTGTCGCAAGTGGTAGAACGGACCTTCTGAGTGGTAGAACGGAGTAGTTGTCCTCCTCCTCCGGCTCGCACGTGTTGGCTACGTGTGAAGAGGAGGAGGAGGACAACTACTCCGTTCTACCAGCCAGAGGGTCCGTTCTACTACTTGCCGGAGAACCCTTCCACCGCCCACAGTTGTTCCAAATAGGAGGAGGTCCCACCCAGACAACAGGATCACCACGAACACAATAGATCTTCAGGCATTTGTCAGAACAGGCATGTGAGTCGGGGGAGTTCCATGCTGCCCCTAATGTCTAAAAACATGTTTAAGAGTTCATCTGGGGGGAATCCTGAAGACAATAGACATTCCCTAGCGGTGCAGGGCACAGATGGGAAGAAAGGAGGGCGGGGCAGATCGGGTTGCCTGGGCGACGTACCCGCGACACATGGGGGGAAGCCTGTGAGGGGGGGGCAGCCACAAGGGGGGCAGGCTTTAGAACCACGCTTGTTCACCAGAAAAGGTCGCCTGGAAGAAAGTATCGACATATATAGTTAAGCAACCCTCTGAGAAACTGGAGGGGCCCAGAGACCCAGAGTGGGCCAGTCTGTAAAATACCCGCTCCCACAAAAAACGGCCAGGGAGGAGAGAGGGGGAGGGAGGGAGGAGATCCCGGGAAGCTCCCCAGAACGCAGGATAGCGACGAACCCCACACAACAATCGGTACGATCGAAAAGGGTACGCAAAAGATTCGGTACGAAGACCGACAGCAGTTCCTGCCCAGTTTGGATTGACGCGCACCTTGCCCATTTGAGACAGGAGGCCGCCTGCCTCGCAGCGACGCTGTTGGACTGGGACAACATCTGCTGCCGGGCATCGTACCAATATGTTCCGCACCCCTGTCGGGCCTCCAGACACAGATCTCCACGACGTCTGCGAGAGCAGGCCACCGACCCTCGCGGGCACGAGCCACCGCAACTCGCAGGAGCAGACCACCGGGACTGGCACGGCCCCCGAGCCCGCAGCCTTCGGGGAGGGCCGCGGCCCGGGGGAGGCCTGCGCTCCCAGAACAGCCTCCGACCTCGACGCCCAAAAAAGCGCTGCTCGGTCCCCGATGGCCCGAGAGCACCCGCAGCCGCTCCGAGAGCCTCGGCCTCCAACTTCCGGTCTGGTCCGGTGCGCACCGGCTCCCAAGAGGGCTCCGAGCATGTGGGGTCAGAGGCTCACGCCGCATCGCCGATGCATCGGCGACGTGGCTCGATACGGAGCCCGGCTTTCTCCGCGCCGGCGGCGGCCATGCAACGGCGGCGTCCCCGATGCATCGGCGATGCGGCGCGGTCCTCCGACCCCATCCATTGGGCCCCCACCCCAACTCGGGAGGCCTCTAACTGTGGAGCCCTCGTGAGACCCGCTCCT